ATGCAATAATTGCTGATTCGTGAAAACGGGCAACTTTTGCTTGTCTTAAAGTGCCTTATATCCATCGTTATAATATTACTTTTTTTGTAAATTGTTTTAAAAAATAAATTTTAAAATAACTTTTAAATAAATTTTTTATTTTTCTTGTTTTTTAAACCAACAGGTTCTTTTAAAAACAATTTAATAATAGTACCTATGGATTTGGGAATATTTTCTAAAAAATAACGTCTTTTAAAAGTTTAAAAGACGCCTAAATTATGGTTTTATTTAGGTTATTTGAGAAAACGTTTTTTTTAGAACGTTTTTTAAACGACTTTTTCAGATCGTTTTTTAAACGCTTTTTTAAAAACGTTTTTTAGGTATTGCCATTCAGAACGTTTAAAAAACGTTTTTTTTCTTAGTTAATAAAACGTTTCAAAAACGTTCATGTGCTTACTGGGTTTGTTTGTAACAGACATGATAACATCAGAGATTTATTAACTGTTTGCCTCAATAAAGTTTGTACTGATGTTCAAGCAGAGCCGCATTTAATTTCATTGAAAAATGAAAAATTTAATCTCAAAACTGCCAATACCAACAACGAAGCTAGATTGGATATAAAAGCAAAAGGGTTTTGGAGAAAAGGAGAAACTGCTTTTTTTGAAGTTAGAGTAACGCACGTAAACTCCAAATCCTCCAAAAAATAACCAACAAAGCACATATTCCGTAGGCATGAAGATGCAAAAAAACGTGAATATTTAGAACGAGTTCTAGAAGTTGAACACGGGACATTTACCCCATTGATTTTTGGTACGAATGGTGGGTTTGGAGACGAATGCAAACGCTTCATAGCACTACTCGCACAGAAACTGTCCTTAAAAATGGGTGAGCGGTACGGAGCTGTTATAAATTGGCTAAGGACACGTCTTTCCATGGAGATTACTAGAGCCTCCCTACTTTGCTTAAGAGGTCACGAACCCCATTTAGGCATTATAACACTGACGATGTTGGCCTGGAAAATGTGCAATGTGGACTTATTTAATTTGTATTTTTAAATTGTTTTACGGTAGTTTGACTTTTAACGATATTATTAATAGGAAATTAAGAGTAAATAAAATATGCCCGCAATGCGGAACTCAACACGAAACTACAGCGCATATGATGTACAATTGCAGTAAGATTTAGCCTTTAATACTTTTTATCTCAACATAATTCTTTTAAATTTTTGTTATATGGATATAGCGTAAAGAAACGTGATAGAGAGTTTAGAAATATTTTACTCCAAGCTCTCGTAAAGGAAATATTGTTTAACAAGATGAAATCATATTATGAAAAGAAAGTATTTAGGGGAAGGTTGCATAAGATAAGCAGGTTCCTAAGACGGTATAACCTCTTTTATGGGTAGGCTACGGATTTTTTTGCAAGTTTGTTTGGTTAAGTATGTTCATACAAGTTCAACAGTGTTACTTATTTTTTTGTTTATATTTATTTGGTTGTATATTATTCATTCATCGTTTTATTGTTTAAAAAATTTACAATCCCCTTTGTTATATAATATTTCATTGCTATATTATTTATGGATTATTAGGGGCTCGGCGATTCGAATATTTTTGTCTTCTTCTTGCCCTCGCCATTTGCATATTTTACAAATTAAAAGAAATTATTTGTTACGCAAATTTAGAAAAAAAACATTGTAAGAATTAAAAATCGGCCACTGCATTTAAAGTTGTCTTTATGCAATAAAAAAAAAACAATTACCAATGAACAAGTTAACTTTAAAAAAAAATTAGATTGATAATATTGTTTGAAAAATACGAATGATCTTATAAACTAAAGTCACTTACAAAAACTCAATTTTCTTCGTTATTCTTCGACAAATATTAACAATGAAGTTCGCGTTATTTTATTACTTATCCACAAAAAAAGGGTTAAATTAACTTTCGCTCCGAACTTTTGAATGAGGGACAAAATTTGATTGTCAGGATAACTTATAAATTAATAAAAGATAATACCTAAATTTCCTAAATAACTTGGAAGGTTGTTTAAAATTTATACTCTCATAATTTTTGAACACTAAGAGATTATTGCATGATATTAGAGACTTGAACTTAAATTTAGTTTAAAATGTTGAGAAATGTATATACAAATGTTGTAATTTCGTCGATCTCACGCTAATGGCATGAAAGGGAGGTAAACATTTTAGGGGTTTATTGTTAACAGACTCCGATTATCGCAATACTTTTATTTTACGTAAACGTGAACGTATAAATGTTTGGAGTTTGCTCCGTGTTGCTACATAAAGTTAAATTCTGAAGCAAAAAAAAAGGTTTGCTACGGGCCTGATTTTAAATATGTGATTGGAATCTGGTAGTTTAAATATTGTGATTTGCATTATAATTGTTTGCATCATAATTGTTTTACTTTTAGTTTTTCAAAATTTTAAGTAAAAAAAGTAAAATATAAAAAGTAAATAATAAAAAAAAATTTACTGAAAAAAAAAATTAACTAAATTTTAGGCCGGGTGAAGAAAAAAAAGCAATTGCTTTTACCAAGGAGTTATGATAGCGTAGCTATTATAGGAAGTAGCATATATATAGCGTAGCTATATATTTTGTGATAATATTAATACGCTAATTTAATATTATTTATTCGACTAGAATTACGTCATTTTCTAGGCTTTTCTATTTTAAAGTTTTTATTCACGTAAAGCTGACCAAATACTGAATAAAAGCAATTGCTCATTTTTATACACCGGCTAATTGTTCAGCTTTACAGGAATAAAAATTTTAGTAAACTAGCTCAAATTTTGATTAAGTAATTGCTCAGCTTTACGTGAATAAAAGTTTGACCAAAATTTCTTAAGTTTTTATTTACGTAAAGCTGACCAATTACTGAATACAAGTAACTGCTTTTTTTTATTCACCTGGCCTGTTTTTCATTATATAAAACACTTTTCTTCACAATCGATTATACAATTTTAAAATAATAAGTGTGTTTTTGAACCATCCTACTAAATTCGCTATATAAAATAAATTAAACTGAGCAGCTGTTGTGGTTATGAAAAGTTTTCCATTTTTTAAAGTTATTTACTTATACTTTTTTAACTTTTTTAATTTTTTAATTTTATTTTTTTAATTATTCTTCATGTTATTTACATCAGTTATTTAAAAATTCTAAGTTTTTTATTTTGGCTTCTTTTTTTCAGTGTGGTTGTTGTTTAAAACCAATTTAACCAAAACAAAAGTTATTTCTGGAAATGACAAACTGGAAAATTGTTTTCTGGAATAGACTAATTGAAAATAGTTCATTCCAGCCAACAGTTTTATGAATAGCTAATAATAAGTATTAAAAAAGAAAAATAATAATAGTTTTCATTTCTGTTAGAGTATTTGTTAACAAGACCACGCTGAATAAGAGAAGCGAAAAGCAACAGCATAGCCTCAAATGTGCCCGGCTCGGTAAACTTTTATCAGGGCCACTAACCTACTCCCGACAAAAAAATTAAACAAGTAAATAAAATAAAAAAGGATGTTTCAAAGACATTTTTTAAAAAGTCTTTCTTCCTAAAAAGTTATAAACCCCAACTTTAAAAAATATATATTTGAGAAAAAAAATTAGGAAATAACCCCCTTTGCCCATGAAACAAATTTAACATGCATGTTCATCGGGACTACATAAATCCTGTCAGAGTTTAAAAAACTATATATAATTTTTTGGAAACTGTTTTAGCAGTCGATGTCCTTGCGGATACCAAAATGTTATTTTGCGTCATATTACCATAACTAATTATTTGATTGAAAAAGCAAATGCAAAGAAAAAAAAACTGTAGAAAAAGCGCGCTCCTACGAGCAGTGACTTAGTCAATGTTTGCATGCATGGATAGCGTCTAGCAGTGTAGCAAGAATTTATGCCCCTCCTCCTTCCCCCTCCATCTTCTTTTGCCAAAATTTCATTATGATCACTAACCTATTTTATAGAAATAAAAAATCAATGATTGCTTAGCAGCCCCTATTAGCACTATAAGTCTCATGCGGCACGTAGCTCGTCTCTACACTACTGGTATACCCGCATGTTAAATATATTTGCCACTAATTATAACAGAATCACCCTTTATAACATACGTCAAAAGAAACCCTTTCACAATGTCCAACCGCAAACGTTGACCACATGCATCAGAGTATTGCCTGAAGAATTACCCAGAAGTGTCCACAAAGAGGCAATCGATTTGAATACCCTGTCTATCTCAAAATTTATGTTAAATCAACAAGAAATCACTGCTCTTTTAGAAATCAAATAATATAACTTACTTTTTGCTTACTTAAAAGAAATTTTAGCTTTATTTGTAATTGTAAATAAATTTTTTTTAAAATTACTTTTATGTGAGCTGTTATTGCTAATTTGTAATTTGGATTTATTATGTTATTTGGATTTATTATGTGATTTTATTTTATTTTGTTAAGTGTTATGTTTTTTAAATATTATATTTACTTAAGTTTACTTCATAAATAACTTTTTTTATATTTAAAAAGTAAATTATATTTCAATGTAATTTTTTTACATAATTATAACCAAAATTACTTTTCAAAGTAAATTACTTTACACGACTTGTCATTAAAAGTTACATTTGCAAGTAAAAATGCAAATTACTTTAACTTAAAAAATAAATTACTTTTTCAAGTAACAGTTACTCATTTAAAAAACTTTTACATGTTATACAATTTATGTAAAAAAAAAAAAAAGAATTACTTTCAAATGTAAGTAAATTTTATATTTTAATGTGAGTTATGTAAGTAATTTACGCTTAAAAGTAAATCGCGTTTTTACATAAAAATAAGTAAGAGCCTTAGTTCTTTTTATTAAATATTGACTGATTTGAATATTGATTTACTTATTAAATATTGACTTATTTAATTTATGTTGATTAAATATTGAATTAAAGGCCTGTTTTTGTAAACTAAATATTTTTTTAAAGTTTAGTCTTGAAGTTAAGTTTATTCTAGTATAAAAATAATATTTGTATATTTACATTTTGTTACTAATGAGGTTGTAGTTAGTTTTTAGAAAAAAGTATATTTGCGCTAGTAACAACAAGCAAGTATTACATAAATGGCAACCCTACAAAAAAGTGAAGAAATTTATATAAAGTTTGCTGATCTGAACGTTAGTGTTGATTCAAAAGAAATTCTAAAAAATGTTTGTGGAGAAATAAACCCAGGAGAAATATTTGCCATCATGGGGCCGTCAGGTAAATAAAAAATACAATTAATCTGTTAAAATAAAGAGATAATTTACTTACTTTTTTTTATTTTAAGAAGCTATAGACAAGGAAGAAAAAAATTTAGAAATTAATTAACATAATTAATTTAAAAAATTAAATTCTCTTAGAAGTATGATAAAAATAGTGGAAAAGATAAAAATTGCAGAAAAACTTTAATCATTAAACACTAAATACTGGAGAAATTTTAACAATAAGTTCATGACAATGGATTTTAAGTTTAATATTTTTGGATGATGCAACATTCATTTCAAAGGATTCACGTAATACATAATACTGCATGACTCCTTAAAAACAAGCTTATTGTTATAACTAAAAGCTACCAAAATGTCAGTAAGTTACAACTAAAGGCTAAAAAGTTGAAACAATGTGTTTTACAAAAAGTTAAGTGGAGACCTTTCCTGCTCTGAGATCCAGACCCTTCCATTGAGCAACATGCGCAACATGGCATTGTTTTTAATTTAATTCACCTCCTTAAGGCCGAGAGGACCGCTAAGTCGAGGAGGCTACTTTATTGTGGTTACTCTCTCAACTTAACAAACCTTGAAAAACAAGGCCGCCTGACGGAGAAAAAATTTGAGCTCGGTCCTATCAGGGACGTCGGGTGGGAACCGAACTTGGAATTTATTGCTTATGAAGCAAACGCTCAACCACTACGCTGCCGCAAGTTGTGCCTAGTTTCATTTGCTTTAAAAATACAGATCGGACTGAGCAGCAGAGCAAGTACAATGACAAGTGAAATACTAGCTTGATTATATGCTACCAGTACCATGTTTTTTACTGACCTTTGGTAAAAATTTCTAAATTTTTTCAATATTCGGTTTTTCAAGTTTATAGTGTGGAACCTGATTCTGATTTTTCAAAAATTTCCAAACAAATTTATATAAATATTTCTTGTTTATTTTAACATTGTCAAATTATTATTCTTAGCAACGCATTGGATTGTCCATAAAAATATTATTTAAACCAACGCGTTGCAACGTCCTTAAATAAGATTTTGTTTGGTATATTATAAGGACATTAAAACGTCCGTAAAAACGGCAATATTTTGTATTTTTTACATATATGCATTTTATGGCTTTCTTAATACCCATAATATGGTTTTCCCCATAAACATTTCTTTTAAATAGACCTCTTCACAGTTCCAAAAATTTCGTGCGCGCCCATATTTAATACTACGTCTCGATGGCCTTATGCACAGAATTGTAAGCAAATAAGTAAATACACAGATATATGAAGGTACTCTTGAAAGAAACAGTTGTTTACATAAGATTTCTTTTCTTTCATAATTTTTTGTTAAATGTAATATGTATATATATATGTATATATATATATATATATATATATATATATATATATATATATATATATATATATATATATATATATATATATATATATATATATATATATATATATATATATATATATATATATATATATATATATATATATATATATATATATATATATATATATATATATATATATGTATATATATATATATATATATATATATATATATATATATATACAGGGCCGTTCGAAAGATGTCTTCCATGGGGGGTTGTTAAATATATTTATGCCAACGTGTGCGCAACGTTAAAAGAATTTAGATAACTATCAAAAAAATATTACACTCTGTATAATATTGGAAGGACTCGGACGCTTTCAACGGATAAGGCACAAGGCATTGTAGATATAATGTATAAATGCTAATCATTGTAAATATAATGTATTTAATGTATAAATACGCTGAAGATATGATACACAAATGTAAACGCTGTTAGTTTTTTTGTATTTCCTATTTTACTTTTATAAGTTTCTGAAATGTCTTTGAATCTTCTATTATCATTATCATAAACGAAAAGATTATTGAATACTACTTTTATTTGTAAATAGTATGTATTTTTTAGTTTTTTAATCAGTTTTAAAGTTTCTAAAGTTTAATTATTTCAAATGTTACTTAATGAAACATTTTCTGTTTTATAGGTTTATTAAAACTGTATCATCGCAGGATATTAGTTTTATTGAAGCTTAAGTTGACCTTAATTAGTATTTTTGTAATTGGTTACTCTACCAATTGATAATTGATGATACAGATGCAGAGACGATTTTACAAATAAAATGATGAGGGAAGGGGGGGTGAGACTAAAAAAGTACCGACTGGCGTCTTAAAAAAAAAAGGTCCTCAAAAGTTACCGACTAAATCCGTAAAAAACCCGACTATAACTTAAAAATCATCTACTTATGAGGGGAGGGTGTAACACCTACCCCCTCCTTAAAAATGCCTCTGTGTAGATGTAGTTAGTATATTTTTTGTAAATAAAACTTTCAAATATTTTTTTATGTTATTATGCATAAATAAATTAATTTGCAGTTTATAAATATCATGCATTTTTGCCTTTATTTAATTCGATTAATTTTTTTACATTAATTAGATTACGTGTTGTTCAGTATAGTCATACAATTGAAAACTATTGAAAATTTTTATGTTTTGTTAATTTGTTAATAAATAGAGTAAAAGTACCGCAAACCGGACACTCTTCACAAAAAGCTAAATAACTTTTTCCATATTGAGAATTTGTAGGATTTTTTTTCTGGTAGGGGAAAGCGGGGCAACATGGCGAATGGGGCAAGATGGGTTTTCATATAACAACTTAACAACAATTCTTAAAATTGGGTGAAAACGAAACTGTATTTGCATCTTGTATTTTAAAACACCAATTGGTTTTTTGAAATATTATCAACGCAATTTTATACGCATAAGTTTACTTTTTGCGCTTAAAAAAAAATTCCTCACTTTCGGTTTCTCATAATGGATGGTGTCCTTCAAGTTTAACTTCTTTAGAAGTAGTTTTTTGCAATTTGTGTTTATTTTTTGTTACTTTATTTAGAGTTATTAGTAATTTTTAAAATTTTATAAAATTGGAGGTAAAAATTGCATAATAAGTCATCTTGCCCCGGTCACGTGATCAGATGACAAATTTATGAACTTTTTATTTTAACATTTATTTCAAATTGTTATATTTGCAAACTGAAAATTCATGCAGGCAATGAAGGATTTTAATAACATAAACATATTGAGAAAGTATTACTGCTTCACGACAGATAGTTTTGCCATAACTCAGGGTTTTCAAAACGTTCGCCATGTTGCCCCGCTTTCCCCTATATAGTTTATTATTAAAGCAATTCTGTAGTTTAAAAAAAAAAAAACTAATTTCAAGTTTCTTTAGAAAATAAGATTTTATTTTTTTAAAATGTGTCCGCTTTCGGAAAATTGTCCCTAAAAGCGGACAGTTCCAAGTTGTATAAAAAAAAACATAGATAAATTGATAAATTCAAATTTTTATTTTTATTTTTAAAATATACATATAATAATAATGCAAGCAGAAAAAACTAGAAAATAAAACAAATAAAAATACATATGCAAGCTTGAGCCTAAAACATTTATAAATTAGGTTCTGCAACCTGTCGTGCAAAAGAATTCTTAGCCTTTTATATATCTTTTTGGTAGACAAGGTTCACAAAGCCACAAACTGCAAATTAATTTTTCATAAGTTTTCCATAAATCTTGCATATCTGGCTTTTTATTTTCGAAAAAATTTGGGGACGTTTAGTACTTTTTTTTAGATTTTTTGGCAGGAGTTTCTACTTCTGCTGCTGCAAAATTAACATATGTTCGTTTTAATAGCTTCGTATCTTCTTCTTCTCTTAACTTGTTTAACCATGCTTCTTTTGTAAAAGGTTGACCAGCCACTGTTCTAACAATTTTGACTTTTTTTGCAGGATATTTGTTAGCGTTTTGGAATTTAAATTGCTTCAAGAGAGCTTTTTTAAGACTGATTTTTACACAAGTCACCAATTCTTCTTGAGAAGTTAAATTTAAAGTTGAAATTAAAGTTTGAGTTGCTGGCGGAATTAAGTTGATTTTGGTATGCGGTAGAATTGAGGTGCGCCTCTTAAGTTTAACTCGGCATTTTCAATCTTATTCAATGCGTTTTTTATTGTCTCCTCAGTGTAAGGCTTCTGGTTTGTTGTTTTTTTTTGCCATTTTTAAGTTTAATAAATTCAAATCAGTTACAGATTTTTGAAATTGAAGAAACGATGCATTTTTGTGGTTACTTTGTGTACTTTTGCACTTTTACTTCAACAGTAAAAGTACAAAAGGACAAAATTAATTAACACAAAAGTGGAAACTTAAAAAAATGAAAAAAATTCAGTCAGTGTGGAAAAATAATAAAACAAATTAACTTTAACATAATAGAAAAATTCAATTAGAGTGAAAAAACAAAAAACAGAAAAAATAATAATGATAACCTAAATTTGATTAATTTAAATAATAAACATAACCTAAATTAAATTTTAATTTATTAAAAAAAGTGTCCGATTTAAGGTGAAAACTGAAGAAAATCTTATTTCCGTCATAACTTTTTAACGGAGTAAGATTATGAAATTCTAAAACTATTTTTGAAAATTTCCAGCCTTTTTAAATCTTTCATGCTAAGAACCTAATTTCCAAAAAAAAAGTTAGATTTTTAGGGTTAGGTTTTGTTTAAACTTAAATATCTTATTAAAGCAATCATAAAAATATATTTTTTTGAAAAATTTATAATTTTCCACGCAGTAAAAATAAAAAACTTTTTAAAATTTTTCAAATATCTTTATTTTTAGTGAAAATATTTAGTTTTTTCGATAATCGTCCGCTTTGTCGCACTGTCCGGTTTGTGGTACTTTTACTTTATGTAAATAAAAAAATCTTTTTTTTTTTACAAAGCTGTTAGGTTTTTTTTCAAAACCACTATCCGAAATGATTTGTATTTTATCTTTTAAATTTTATCTATGTGAACGAAAGCCTATGCAAACAACTAACATGTCAACTTCTATTTAAATTATATCAAATTTTACTTTAAAAGCTATTTAAATTATATAAAATTTTACAGATTTACTTTTACTTGAAAATTTCATTTCAGCAATATCTTTTTAATTTTGATTTATTCCATTTATATGCTATAAATGTTTTATGAAGCTGAATAAGTCTTTGGTTTATAATCAGTTTTAAAAGATGATAAAGCATGCTAAAGTGGTTGAGGTGTTTCGTGTGGCTTAAAATCCTTTTGCTAAAAATACTTCTTTTTTTTAGTTTTTTCTAATTTTCTAGAATAAAAAATAAATTATTTTAAAAGTACTATGGATATTATATGCATAATGTATATAAAAATATTACATACTGTAACAAACGAAAGGGAGGGAGTTTTTTTAAAAAGCTTTTTAAAACTTCTAAAAACATTGAAAAATTTTTGCACATATGTCGTGATAGAGATAATTATAATAAGCTGCGGATAGTCTGTAAAAAATTTCATAGAAACTTAATAAAGTAAAAAATAATCAAGCCCCTTCCCGCTTTTTTTTGTCCTTTGTTTTTGTAGAAGTTGTAAAGTATTAAACATAAATCGTTAACTCAAAACAAAGTTTTGTATATTTTACTTTTTTTAAAAAAATTGTTGAAATAAAGCGAAATTATTAAAATGGCTGAAGTGGAATAGACTTAGAATGACCAGAATACGGGTCATGGTCCGCTATTTCACATATTTAAGTAATCTCATGCTTTTTTAAACTTTTTAAACCGAGGGTAATTAATAAAAACATTTAAGCAGGTATTCTAAATGTTCAACAAAACCCGCAGTAAACTTATGATTCAATTTACTCCATACAATTTGATGCAACTTACCTCATATTTTATTATTTTTTTAGTTTAAATATATATTTTAATATTTACGCTATATTTTTCTATACAATATTTTTATCCGAAGATATTGTTGGCTTAACATAGGAAAAGCCACAAATAGTCTTAAAGACTAATCCAAAGTAGCGTCCGTAATTAACATTTTTGCGTGCAGAAGTACTACTCAAGCGCTGAATTGGCGGTGGCAGAATTTGACCTCGTATCTTACAACAGTTCGGGTTTTAACTTTTCGTTTTGCGTTCTAACCAACTGAGCTATTCAGCCATAGGCATCATAATCACTGTAATCATAGTATACAATTATTTATATTAAAAGATATATTTTTTTTAGCTTTTCGTGTTTGAAAAAAATTTTTTTAACTTACCATTACTTAATTATGGTCATATACCACTAAGTTTAAAGTAAAACCCACAAAAACTTCAAAAACAAAATTTAGAATTTTATATCAAAAAAAAAAATAAATATCAATAACTTTTAAAATTTTTATTTGATAACTATAAGTTTTTTCACAGCTGACGTGTTAAAGTTATAGTTATATCATTTTAAAAAAATATGGAAAAATATATAAAAACCATTCTTTAAACCGCACTGTTGCAAATTACCCTTGCTGCAATTAGCCCCGGTCTCCCTTACCTACATTGAACTATTGCTTTTTTTTTCTGACTCTTTTGACTACTTTTTTTATATACTTCACATTTAAGCAATACTTTTCCATATTTTTCAAATTTATTTAGTTCTGTTGAACATCTCAACGATTGAACATACTCAGACAATCAATGCAACAAAAAATAGCTTTATTCAAATCTAAAGTGGCGCCTTATAAAACTAGATATGTTTTATTGAATCTTTGCAGCATCTTATTCCAAAAGACAGTCAAAGTATCAGTTTTTGATTCACCAAGACGTTTTGCTAGTCCAAGGGCCTCTTGTCGAGTTTTACCTTCATCATTTGCAATTGTATCTAGAGCAGATTGAATTTTTTTTAACCCTTCTGCAGAGAACTTGTTGCGTCAGCATGTGCTGTCTATTTATGTCTTTTAGGCACTGGTATCTTGTTTTTGGCTAGCTCTTTTGTCAGGATTGTCCATTAATGAGTGGATGTACTAAACCATGTGTAGATCCGTTGCACAATATAAAAAAAATAAAAACCAACTGCTGCACTTCAACAACCAACAACATTTTTAATAAATAATTTTAATGATAGTGCAAAGCAAGATAAATTCACAAACTAATAAAATATGAGCCTTAACACCTTTGTAACATCCAGACATATTCGATGCATTATTATACGTCTGACCACAACAATTGTTAATGTCAATATTATTTTTCTCTAAAAACTCCAGTAGAGTATTTGATAATCCGATTCCAATGTGACTTTCAAACTTAATATTTGTCAAAAAATACTCAAGGTTCACCTTTGTTTACATAACGAACTGGCACAGACCGACGTGCGATAAGTGTTGAATCAATTGACACACTATAGTATTTTGCTTTTTGTATTTTATCAAAAATAAACAAAAGTACTTTTTAACCTATTAAATTAATGATTTCATTACAAACAGTAGAAGATAAGTATCATGTTTTGCTGCGACCTGGGTTGCCATGATTTTTAATATATGCAACCAAAAAAGGATTATAAAGAGCTAATAGCTAGAGGATGCCCATAAAGTTACCATTGTGTACTAAACTTAATTTATCTTCATGTCCACAAAGTGAAAAAGCATGCTCAGCTAAACACTTTACCATATCTACTGTCCGCCGAAGAACAGATAACCAATACTTAGATTCATTTAAGATTGCTTTCTCCTGTTTTCACAACACAACCAATCACACCGCGTTCCTGTGTAAATGCTAAACTAGCCGATTTGATGGTGGCAAAGCCAGGTACGTTCAGAATTCTCATCAGTTAATTTATGATGTCGAGTGAATAATGAAGGAGTGAAATACCGGTTATGATTTATACTACTGTACGAGATTTTTTTTTTTTTTTTCAAACAAAAAGAATGAAATCAATTAATATTAAGAGCTTCAATATCTTTATCTGACTTTCATTAAACATGTTTATTCTTCAAGTTACGTGCAAAATTATTGTTTTACACTTATTTAATTTAAATATGCAGAGTAATTGTAAATTATCTTACATTTACATTATTTATAAAACTTCAAAATATTTTATGATGCTATAACAGAAATTTTATTTTTTCTAATTTTGAATTACGATCTCTAAAAACCTAAAAGGGGATATTTTGTATTATATTATTTTAATTGATTTATTATTTTTAATTTTTTTTTTTAATTTATTTTTAATTACTTTTTTAGTTTTTTAATATTTTACTTTTGGTATTTTTTAAATGTTGTTGCTTATATGATATATGATTTATTGCGGATATATAGAATCGTTTCTAATGGGGCTTGGTGATATATATATATATATATATATATGTAATTTGGTGATATATATATATATATATATATATATATATATATATATATATATATATATATATATATATATATATATATGTATATATATATATATATATATATATATATATATATATATATATATATATATATATATATATATATATATATATATAATATATATATATATATATATATATATAATATATATATATAAGAATAATTTATGTTTTTTTTCTTGCCCTAGTCATTTTTATTTTTTATGTTTGTTTACAAAGTAAAAAAGTAATCATTTGTAAACGACGAAATAAACTAAACTAAAGAAATAAGTGGGAAATTTCACCACTTATAGAAATAGGTAGAAAATTTCCTCACTTAAAGTTATAGGGATTAAAATTCTTTCATATCTCTAAAAATATTAACTTTACCACTTAAAAAAAATAAGTGAAAAGAATGCAAATGATTAAAATAGTTACTGTCAAGAAAATTGAGAAAAAATACAAAATAGTATTTTATATTTATTGCTTAAACTTTTTCCTATATTTCTGCTACGAAATAATTTTTTTTTTCAAAAGTATTAAACTTGTATCTATTGAAAAAAATCTTTCGAGTTAATAAAATATAAATCTACTAATTTTTGAATTTTGAGTTTCCATTTAAAAAAGCTAAATTTGTAAACAACAAGTTGAGGCTGGTTGGTTGATTAAAGGATAGATAGTTGGTTAGAGGATAACTCAGTTAGTTAGTGAGTCAAACTTTATAAATATTAAAAACCTGAACAGTCATATGATACAAGTATAAATCCGGCTACCGCCAACTCAGCGCCTGAGTAATCTTTGGTACGCAAGAATATTGTTCAACAACGGACGCTTATTTAATATTTGTTTTTAAGACTGTTTGTGGCTGTTCCTATGCTAAGCCAGTTTTTGGGTATAATAAAAAAAGCATGAAATTCAAATTAGGTAATAAAATTAAAATAAATTAACAAAACCAAAACTTAGTATACTTATGTTGACTTTTTAGGTGCTGGTAAATCAAGCCTTCTAAATATACTTGCTGGTAGGAGAACTAAAGGAGTTGTTTTAACCAGTGGGACAATTTTAATAAACGGAGAAAACTTTTCCAAGTTTTTTCGGAGAAAAATAGGATATGTGATGCAAGAGGATATATTTCTTTCAAATCTCACTATCAGGCAAACGCTAGAAGTAAGAACATAAAAAACTTTTTTTATTATAATAAATATAAAGTTGTAGAAATAAGTTTAGTTGATGATTATAATACGTAGTAATTAAATTAGTTATTAATTTTATGCGAAGCAATACTTTGAAAGTATTAGAAACATTTTTCAACAAATTCTGTTGTTGAAGCACACTTTAAATCTTTCGGGATCTTAAGTTTCAGATCTTAGGTTTAAAGTCTACCACTTAAACCTACCACTTGAGTCTACCATTATTGTTAATTTATACATCAACCCAAGTATATTTACACTAACCAAAAACTTATGATTTGTTGTTACTATATTTCACTCTTATTATTCAATAACATTTGTACCCAAGATTATTCATTTTCACAAGCGTTATATAAAAACAAACAAAAAAAAGTGTATTAAAAGACTTTCCCTTTCAAAAATAGACTTTGATAATGCAATTGAAGATTTTGAGGAACATAATTCCCTAAAAAAATGAGCATCGCTATTAATTAAAACCAGTAACATTCCATTAGATAATGTTTTTACCTAAATTTCATTATTTAAAACGTTTAAATTTTTTGTGTGACCAAGGGCTCCGGCACGTCTAAAACGGCCTAAAGTTTTAATTTCATTTTAGCTTTTTAAGGTGAAACGTAATTTTAATGCAGTAAGTTTTTAGCCACATGATCCTATTTCAAAAATAGATATTTTAAACTTTTTTGCAAAACTTATCATTGAGAATATCAACAATTAGTGGGAATCATATAAATGTCAACATACATGTATACCTGATGTCAACATATATACCTGATGCATTTATCATACAGTTACTTTTTTAAGAAGTTTCCAATATTTTTTTAATCTTATTTTACTATGAGCATTATTATTATTTAGCTTAGTTAAGTTCATATTCATTGAAATTATTTTTGTTGCTTCATGACCCAGATCATTTTTTAAAAATGTGATTATAGCCCTTATATTTACATCATATCTTTTTTGTTTAGGTTCTTCAGAAGCATTAACTTCTTCGGAATTAAGAATAAGTTTACCCATACCCATTTTTCTTAAAAGTGATTTTTTATATTTACTAATCCCATCAATCTAGGCAGGTTTATTATCTATTAGTTATACTTTCTAAAACATCCAAAAATCCAAAAAAATATGCTTTTCAGGAGTTTTACATAATACATTTACGTTGGATTTTTTTTTTTGCATTTTTTTCAATATTGAAAACCAAAGTGGTATCCTTATTTTGAGTAAAACATTATTTATTTCCTTTTTTGAGCATTTCACAAAGATGTTTAAACTTGGCTTAAAACATCTCTTAATAAGTATTTCATATAAAACGCACTCTTCCAGAGATAAAGAAAAGTGTTTCTTTAAAAGTCAGTGTCAGAATTAGGATTGAAGGTTAACTTTCGAAATAAAACAACTTGATCATTAACCTGACCCTATCCAGAGCAGAAATGGCTCTAAATCTGACTCTAAATATGACCTTCATTATCCTAAACCTGGCCTTCGTTTGATCTATGTTTTAATTTGTAAAACGGTGCGTTGTTTTAGATTTAATTGTGACAAGCACAAAAAAGCCAAAAAATGATTTTATTTTTTGTCGTCTAACTAAAGTATTACCCAGTAATAAACAAGATATAAACAAAACTCTTCTTGAAAACCACTTTATTCTAAAATTCCGCTAATAAAAATATAACGATGAAAGAATTAAGAGATAACTCGTGTAAATGCATTTATGAAATTTCTTTTTGATTTACCATTTTAGTTTACCAGATCATATTTCAAACTAAATTTTTTTAAATTATGTTGCATCAGAAGTAAATTAGAATTTTGAACACCTTATAAATGCTATTGCAGCAGAAGGAGTTATAATTGATAGGTGTTATAATTGCTAAGGCTGCTAAGAGCGTTGCTAAGGATAAAAATTTTGACCAACATGCATTAAATTAATTTCAGATATATAAGAATAACTTTAAAAAATCACTAAGTTCGATGTCAAGTTCAAATTCTGTGAGAAATTGAAGCATTTGTAACAAGAAAATAAGAACTTTTTTTTACAATTCATCTTTTTTATATTATAAAAGTAACTTAAGTTTGTAGGAAAAATTAGACTGCCGGACAGCATGAAATGGGATGAAAAGCTCGCTATTGTTGACAAAGTCATCGACGATCTTGGATTGCGTAAATGTGAAAACACCGGTATTATTAAAATAATCTTGTAAAAAACAGATTTTGTTTTAGTATTTCTTTATTTTTTTTTTTTGATATATAATATCAATATTCGTATATTTTTAGTGATAGGAGGCAATTATGATACACATGGATGTTCAGGGGGTAAAGAGCTGTTTAATATTTATATCTATACTATTTTTTAATTTCTATTTTCAAAACGTACTTTTAAAGTTAAAATTAATATTGTATTTATTTTAAAAAATATAATTTTTGTATTTATTTTATTCATTAAAGGCGAGAGAAAACGATGCAGCATTGCTGTAGAACTTATAACTAACCCTGCATGCATAATTTTAGATGTAAGTTTTATTAATTTTTTCTTTTTGTTTACATTTGATTATCGTGATCAAATAATAAATACATCTACAGATATAAATAAAGTTTTTAATAAAAGATTTTAATGATTTTATTGTCAGAATCATTTTAAAGCGTCAAAACGTAGTGTAAATATGTATATAAATATCGTTGGTTTAAAGCACTAGACACATGTAAAAAGTTCTGCTATTTGTCATTTTGGCCATAATTATTATTAAAAATAAATAATTAATGACAATAACGCTATAAAAAAGATTAAAATTTTACTGATATCGCAAAAATGTTACACTTTTTATTCAAATGTTCCTAAACTTTTTAATTATGCATCTCTTTTATTTCAATTTTGTTTATAAATTAAGAAACGGGACCCAAGATCCTGGAGGAACACCACATATTGTTTTAGTTATTTCATTTTGTAGGAATCATGCATTAAATTATCTTCATATTCTCAGCTTATGGAGAAAATACAGATGCTTACTGATTTTAAACAGTTATAAATGAAGTTTATAAATACATTTAATGAATCCGCTGAACAAATACATTTAATGAATTCGCTGCTTGAACAAATACATTTAATGAATTTGCTGCTTGAACAAATACATTTAATGAATTTGCTGAACAAATAATGTAAAATTAAAATTTTCTTGTTAAAAATTATTTTCAGGAATTTTCAAACCACTCAAGCTATTGGTTTCACCACCTGAATCTATCGCAAACAATAAAAAACATTTAGTAAACTTGTGTTTACTCCGTTTACATAAGTAAGTACACAAATTAGTGTACGAATCAAACAATAAATTTTCTACACAAAGAAGTTGTTGAGTATTTGTTAAGTAACTTTTATACTATTTTAATAGGTTGTTTATCCCAAATTATTTGAGCTTATGCTAAAAACTTTTACGGTTAACTTTATCAAATGTTTTAGATAGATAATAAATTTACCCAAAGTTATTTTTTTATTCAAAAAGTCAGAAATAAAGACCAGATAAATTGAAAAAATGCATGTTTTGTTGAACTATATTTTTATGAACCCAACTTGAATTTTGTATAGCTGTTTATTATAAAGATACTTTTAAAAGGAAGAACAGAAACAAGATGGTAGTTGCAAACATTTGTTTTGTCTCTGTTTTTGTTTATTGTAATAACTTTTTAAATTTCATTTGGTGCGGAGAAACCCCTTGTTTTGGAGACACATTAAAAGATTTTTTAGATATATCACTCAAGAATTTTTAACAATTGAAAATTATATTCCTTTTTTATTTTGGTTCAGGGAATAACTACTGGGGACAAATGATTCAATAATAAAAACAGTAAATAAATAATAGTTGAAATATGGGTTGTGGTGGGGGAGCGTATTAATACAATATTTTTATATTTATTTTGGCAATTAGATAAGTATCTAATTAAAAGTAAAAATTAAATAAGTAATCGAAATAATAAACATTAAACATAGAGAAAATAAAGAAGCATCTTAATGACAACAAGTTTCAAACTTATTTAACGAATCTAAAATAACAACCTTCTATTTAAACGGATTTAAAGAGTGCATTAACATCAAAAATTTCTGAGTGACATTTTAAGAATATGATCAACTTTTGGAATAATAAAGTTAAATAGAAGCTTTTTTTTTGAAAAAAATAAATCTTTAAAACATTCTCAACTATATTTTAAGTCCTTAGAGCTGATCATTTTAGCAGCGTAAATAAAAAATATTTTTTAGTAGTAACTTTAAGGTTTCTTTGAATCAAGAATATTTTTGACTTCCATATTTACTGAAGCATAATCATTTAGAAACTGTTTTTGCAGGATTTATTTTTTATACTCGGCCTTCAAATTTTTTTTACAATTTATAACTTTCTGCTTTGCGAATTTCATCTCATACAGGAATGTTTGTTTAAGTTAACGCTTTCACTTTTTCCACCTCTGATTTTCCTTGGTTGTTCTTACAAAAAAATTTCTTCAGGAGATTTTAAAGATGATTATCCTTACACAGTGGGTTCTTTGAATTTGGAAGTTAAAAGTTTTCAACATCCTGACATGACAAAACTTTTTGTTTTTAGATTTTGAAAATCGACATTGCATTGTTCTATTAGACTATTAGTCACATAAAATCTTCATTCGTAAAAATCACTGAAATCAATGAACAAATACCTGTTCATTGAAATCCTGTGACTATATTATTAGAAGTAAAGACTTAAGGAAAGCAATACTAATCATACTTGAAATGTTATTATTTGCTACGGGTTTAACTGTATGGTATATATAACATAACCATAAAAATCATTGTAGAATGATTATAAAAGATTTTAATTGGTCCATTGACAGTTCTGTTTAATAGCTTTGTTTTAGCTTATGACTGCCACTAGGTGGTTATTTGAACACACAACTCCTTATGGCTTTGCTAGATTAATTATCTTAATAGACAGGTGTGTATTGTGACTCTCCAAAATCAATAAGACAGATTGCTCTTTTGAACACTTTGTTGATGTAATAAAATGTTGCAAAAATAAATAAAAACTATCATCCAACCTGTTTTATGATGTCATCCAACCTGTTACATGAACTGTCCAAACAATTCCTGGTCGAGTACCGTGACCAATGAGTCTTTTAAATGCACTCTAGGAAACACCATAAATGAAAAAGTTGTATTTTTTATCACTTTTACTGCAGCAAGCATTGTAACTACCCAGTGGGAATTTGTTTTTAAAAGTTACGTTCTAAATGTATTTTAAATGGCGCTTAAACATCTTCTAAAAATCCTTACGTAAAGAACGTTTAAAAGACGTTTAAAAGACATTAGGAACGTAACTTTTAAAAACAAATACCCGTAACGTAGTTTATCTCTCTCTGTGGAAGAAATATTTCCAACTTGTTTATCTTTTTTACTGGCAATAATTTTTATATTTCCCACTTTTTGTACTGTACAACAAACTGCCTCATCATAATAGATGTTAGGATTAGGACTAAAGTTCCATTTTTTTAAAACTTTCTTTATGATTTTTATAAAACTCTGAAACATTTTGTTTGCCGAGAGCCAAAAGGCCGTATGTTCACATTTTGTGTTTTTTCTAATTATTGTCAATAAATATTCAACAACCAATGGAGTATGTGTCTAATAAATCTTGTTTCAAGAATGATACAACTTTTAAAAATATTTAAAAAATTAGTCGGTCATTCTGGCAGTAAGCCTTAACAAATTAAATATTAAAACTTGATTTTCTCGGAAATACAAAAAATGGACATACTGCCTCATGGTTCTCGGCTGACTATTTGTTTTATTAAAACTTGTAGAGCGTGAATAATCGGTTGCTTTTGGTCTACCTAAAAAATATCTACTCACCTATTCATATAGCCATACAACCAATCTTCTTTAGCATTAAGATTTTTTTCCATGATTGTGGAACAATCTATTATGTTGAGCATAATCATATGCTAATTTTTTTAACTGAGTGCTAGTAAGTCCGAATTGTATCGTGAAAGCCTTTAGTACATAAACTTTTAACAATATTTCTTCTTCACCAGTAAAAACTTTTTGACATTTTTAGCTCGGTGTATACATTATTTTATCAGGACCAGATTGTTTAGCTTTTTTCTCATGCCATTGCAAACTTAAAAATGCAATTTTATTATTTTTGCTTACTGCATAAATGCTTTTTCCATCGTTTATTATATATATATATATATATATATATATATATATATATATATATATATATATATATATATATATATATATATATATATATATATATATATATATATATATATATATATATATATATATATATATATATATATTAATATGCTGTTAACCTTATAATATATTATTTTCTTATATAAAACACAAGATAACCAAACTGTCTTTTCATTTACTTAAAAAATTCTTTTCTTCCACAAATTAAAAAAAAATAAACTCATTTTCATGTTGTTTATTTGTTAAAAATGCTTGTATTTAATCTTTAATATAATTAATGGAACAGATTGAATCAACTAATTCACTGTCTAAAGGACAATGAATTTTTTTCTTCAGTGAATTTCTAAAGGAAAAGTTAAACACGGAAATATAAATATCAATAATAAGAATAATTAAACTTAACCTATTAATATCAATAATAAGAATAATTAAACTTAAGCTATTAAAATAATTGCATCCACGATCTCCATAATAAAAAAATGAATGAATTTTGTTTGGTCTGCTTAAAACAATAACCACGCTGCAAAAACCGGTAATCAAAGTTTATGTTCTTTCGACTTTAAATTAAGATAACTGATATGTAAACACATTAAATGATGACACTATTACAATAAATCATAATATTTGAGAAAACACCTTTTATACACTGTGCCTCTCAATCTACTGTGTCCACTTTTTCTTATTGGGTTTTACAGATTGGCGTTTTTAAAGTATAAAAACCATTAATGTTATCCCAGCAAACAAAAAGATATCTAAAATGCATCTAATATGCATCTAAAAACTGGTCTAAAAGATGTCTAAATTTAGGTCTAGAACGGGACATAAATAGACATCTATATATATATATATATATATATATATATATATATATATATATATATATATATATACATACAGTATCGGACAAAACCAGTGCAACCAAATGATGCTAATTTAGTTCCTTTGTATAAAAGTGCTGCATTTTTTCAATTTAGAGAAATAACTATGTAACTGTTTAGAGACAACGTTCTTCAAATTTTATTCATCACAAAGTTCATTATTTGTACACGAAAATTAATAAATTAATCAAAAATATTAAAAAAAGTTGATTTCCTTCTGGACAAAACAAGTGCAACTCCACAAAATGTTGACCAAGCTGTATTTTGCTATCAATATTTTGTGGTGAACCCTTTGTTGTCGATCACAGCCTTGCATCTTTAAGGCATAGATTCGATCAGGTGATCAATGAAACTTTGTGGAATCGCTGCCTAGGCCTTTTGGATTTGTTCAAACAGTTCATCCTTATTACGAACACATTCATGATTAACTCTGCAGTTAACGATCTCCCACAGGTTCATGATTGGGTTGAGATCCGGAGATTGAGGCGGCCAATCCATCACCAATAGATGGTTGTCTTGAAACCACTGCTTGACTACTTTTGCAGTGTGTTTGGGATCGTTGTCTTGCTGAAAAACCCATTTTATTGGTATATTCCGTTCGGCATGAGGTAACATAACATCTTTCAGGATATTTTTATACATGAAACGGTCCATTATTCCATTGATTCGATGTATTTGACCTAGACCGTTAGCAGGAAAACACCCCCAGACCATTACATTGCCTTCACCATGCTTCACGGTCTTATGACAGTAACGTAAATCAAGGCGTTTTCCGGCTGCTTGACGTACAGAAAGCTCTAATTGCTTTTGTATCTCAACTGATGATATCAAGGGATCCTTCTTGACAGATCTGACGATCATAGAATTCTCTCTAGAAGTGGTGGAACGAGGTCTTCCACCATTGTTATCTGCTGCCAACTTCCCTGTGGAACAATATTTGGAACATAGTCTTGATACGATCTATTTTTTCACGCGATATTTATCACAAATACTTTTTTGTGACATTCCACTTAAGTAATCGCAAATAATTTTCTCTCTTAGTTCCAATCCAAGACTGTCGGGAACCATTTTTGCACTTGAAGTCATAAAAATAATAAAAATAAATAACCACACTTCTCAAGGCTTACCGTGTTACATTTACCTTGTGATGATAAAATATGGCTCTGTGGAACATAACGTCTTGGTTGGATGTGGACTGTATTGATGTAATGAAACACTTGTTGTATTTCACTTCTAGTATTGATGTTCTTCGATAAAACACTTTGATAAAACTCACTTCGATAAATTGTCTTGATAATACTGACTGATTGAATTTCATAGACTGACTGAATTACATGTCTCTTATATAGTAAAATGAACCTGTGTGAACCTGTTCTGGAAGATTCTAGATGCTTCTTTTCAATACTTCTGGAAGCTTCTGGATGCGTCTGAATGCTTCTGAATGTTTCTGGATACTTCTGGATGCTTCCAGATGCTTCCTGATGCTTCTTCTGGAAACTTCTGGAAGCTTATGCATGCTTCTGGAAACTTCTGGATACTTTCTTTAATTATTAAAAAACTTCCGTGACGTTGACACGGACCAGACTTGAGAAAATGAAACAAACCAAAAAAGTTGCACTTGTTTTGTATGCTGCAAAATGGCACTTGTCAACGAAATTCTGCCTGTGTGCTGTCACCTGTCAGCTGATTGCTCATATCATGGCATGCTATGTCATTTTAGACTCCTGAACTGTTTGCTGTGGTAGTATAGTTTGTTTCATTTTTAAGACATAAAATTAGGAACACTTTTTAGCATTGTTCGATGTTGGTTGCAAATGTTTTGTCCAATACTATATATACACATATATACATATATACATACATATATATATATATATATATATATATATATATATATATATATATATATATATATATATATATATATATATATATATATATATATATATATATATATATATATATATATATATATATATATATATATATATATATATATATATATATATGTATATATATAAACAAGAAGATTTGTATCTCAACCAGATACAATAAACAAAAATTTTTTTATGAAAAAACTAAAGGAACTTGTATTATGGATACAAAAATTCTAGCATGACACAAAAAAGTCGAAGAATATCTTTTTAATACAGATATCAGTTTTGTAAATACTATTAAAACTATACCTCGTATAACACTCCATATATTTACTAGATTTTCTATGCTTATCTTTTCCCCATTTCCTTTTCGATTAAATTTGGACTGTAACTGATTCGAAAATAACCTGATAAATATTTTAACAATAAACTGAAATATATTTATAAAGATTTTTATTTTAATATAGGTAATAAATTAAAATATATTTCAATATATGAATGCTTAAAGTTATGAAAAGTAAAAGCATTAAATTTGAAAATAAAATGCTAAACAAGGTTTAGCATTACACTTACTTTAGCACACAAACAAACTTAAACACCTACAGTGAAGCTCCCGAGTTTATCAAATTGTCATGTTAAAAGTAAATCCATAACAAATAACGGTTAAAATGAATTGCTTTTGGTCCCTTTTAATCATATTTCTAATAATTAATAAAAACATAATCATTAACCTTTTCATGATCAAAAAAACATGTTCTCTTGGCTTTCCACCACCAATCTTTTTCAAACTATCAAGCTGAAATAAATGTAATAAAAACTAGTGTAACTTAAATTTCTTTACAACATATTGAGTCTAACACAAGCTAGTTATTTTAGTTCATTTACAAATACTTTTCATTTAGATTCTAAACTAGTAAACCAAATTTAAACAAACTTATTAAAAATTAAGATAATTAGATATTACCAAATTAGTATACTCGGTTTTATCTTTTAGTTTATTATCCAGTGTAACCACTTCGTCCACTGATTCTAGCAACTTCACCCCAGTAGCCTGAAACTTAATTTCTATAACTTCTTTTAAAAGAACTTTTATTTCTGTAAGCTCGTTGAGAATAACATTTAGCATCTCTACAAACAAGAATAAAAAGATTGATTAACATATTTAGCTCATAAAACCAAATAGCAAAACAATGAAATAAGAACTTTAAAATTCAAATTATGCTTGAGTAACTCAAACTAAAATTCCAAAAATACATGTAAGTTTTTTAATTACTCCATCGCAGAAGTTGCCATAATATTTTGGAAAACCTACTTTTTAAATTAGCTCAAACTTTATCCTGTAAAAAGTTACGATATTAAAGAATTTTGTTTAACTACTAAAGGTAAAATGCTACACACATGATTTATTGGATCACAATATTATAAATAATCCATTTCTATTCTTTTATACCTATCTTTTACAATTATTTTAATACAAAAACAAATTAATAAAAAAAGACCTCCACATTAACATTCAGTGGTGTAAAAACCAAAAATACTCATATTAAAACTTGAAACTCTTTGACAATGTGAACTTTGCTTGGTTTTATTCTGTTCATCAATAAAATGTGAAGAAAAATTATCTTCTTCAATCTTTGAATCTGATAACAACTCTATTCAAAAGAAATAATTATAATTAGAACTATAAATAATCCCTCAACCATACCTGTTACCTAATTTAATTTTTCAACCAATTTTGTACTCTTTCAATTTCTGAATTTAAACAATTTCAACATGCTTTCAATCAATTTTCAATTTTCATATCAAGTTGATTAAAGGATTATTTAATACAATAGAATGTTGTCAATCATATAAATATATGTAACCAATTTAACAACATTACATAATAGGACACCCAAATAGTTAAAATAAAAGGAAAATCTTAGTAATACATAAAAAAGACTAATAGCTAGATAGATATTATTCAGATCAAATTAAACAAGAATCTATTTCAGTTTATAAACCATTAAGAAAAAAATATGATATTTGTGTTGTACTTTTATCATTGGGCTTATTCATAATAGGTGGCGGAGGTTCTGGCAATGAAGAGCAGTATGATTTGCTATTCTTATTTTTAATCCTTTCTTTAACATATATCTCATCTGATGTAGAAAGTTGTATTCTTTACAACATGAAAATGAATCTAATTATAAAACATTTTGCTACAAAAGAGTAATTAAGTTACCTTTAAAAAAAACTTAAAACAAGTTAGATACTGACTATCTGTTATCTTATACTTTATCAATGTAAATTTGTGCCATTCTTTTGTTGACGAAAGGTTGTTTTTCAGTGCATTATAGTTGTTTTTTTGGGACAATAAATTTGTTGCTATTTTGTTATTACAATAAATTTGTTGCTATTCTTATTTGTCAATCCACTTGTTTAGTGCATAATTACTTGGTTATAAAAACATGCAGAAAAACTTTCCTTTAAAATTGGGTTATGCTTATACTCATGAGGCTTTTGGTTATAAGAGTATTCATTGTGCAAAATCAATGACTCATGATGGTCAAAATATTCTTTAAGATTTTCGCAAGATAAGAAATCATTTCTTTTAGAAGTTCCAACATTCGATTTTTCTTTCTATATGTACTGATGAAAATTCTAGTATTTTTTAATATTCTTTTTGGACACGTCTACTGCGTCTCTTTTCGTATGCCCTTTTTGTAAAAGACATAAATGAATCTTGGTTCATCGATAAAAACGATAAGTGCACAACCAATAAAGCAATCTTTTGTGTTATTGAACAACACTTTTGTAATATTTCTGCAAAATAAATTTCAAATCACAAGGATTTTAGCAAACATGCTAAGCATCAAATCATCGAAATATTTTGTGAACTATATTAGCATGTTATTTTATTATTTAAAATTTATCAAAAGAAATAATCATTGACGTCTTCCTTAGGTTAAAATCTTCATGCTTTTTTCGAAATAAGTTTCCGAAGGGTTTTTAAATGGCGGTCATTTATAATTATCGCTCCGTAAAATTAGTTGAAATTTTTTTCTTGTTTTTATAACAATTCTATAAAAGACATCTTATAGACATCTAAGTTTAGATGAAAAAAAAATTATCTATGCACGATCTATTTTATGCATCTAATATGCATCTAAAACAGAGCAAAAATAGTATCTCTAAAATCAGACGTCTTTTCGATCTCTAATATACGTCTAAAATATACGTATCGGCAATAGATACAAATTAGACCAATTTTAGACGGTCTAAAAGACGTCTATTGTTTGCTGGGATATTTCCTTGTATATATACTTCATCTCCGCTTTTAGGAGCCAACTACTGGTTTAGATTCTTCCACAGCATTTAATCTTATAAAAACTCTTAAAAATCTTGTTGAAAAAGAAAAACGTGCAATTTGCTTGACAATCCACCAGCCTTCCAGTCAAGTGTTTCATATGTTTGACAAGCTGATGTTACTATGCAACGGAACGGTAGATTTTTTTTTATAAATTGTCCAAATGTTAACACAATAAACTGCTAATTTTAGGCAATTATTATAAATTTTATGTTTTTGTTCCATTTTGCTTTGCTTTTTAAATTATTAAAATTTTATACTTTAGGTAATGTTTTTTGGAAAAAACTCGAATATTTTGCCTTTTTTTGAATCAATTGGGTTGCCTGTTTATCCAAATTGGAATCCTGCAGATTTTTTTAGTAAACATTTAGTATTATTGACTTTTTTATGAAATAATATATTTTACTTTAAAAAAAATAAAGCAATATAATCATAAGTCTTGCAAACAATAATGCAAATTATCAATAGTTAAATTCAAAATGGCGCAACACTAGTTCCGTAAATTTTAATTTCCTCATTTTGTAAGAACGACAACTTTAAATGTTTTCATATTTGCATCTAAAATGAGGTAATTAGTAAGCTTAAAATAATATATTTCTAAATGGTTTGCACTCATATTTTGATAATTTGTTGGTAAATATTATAAATAAAATAACTACTTAAATTGTATACTCAAGGACTACATAGAGAAGCTCATTATTTTTAATAAATTTAATTTAAACTTAATATACAAAAATAATAAAAATGAAATCACTTGTTTAACAGCAACAACAAAATACATAAAATTCTTAGAGAGCAATTTAAATCGAATTAGAGAGTCGTTTTAATTTTTGAAGAAAAAATAAGAGTTACTATTTATGATTTAGAAGTAGTAAAGAATGATCTAGAAATTTTGCCAGGACCAGATGAAGGAAAGAAAAAAAGAATCATTTTTTCAAAAATTTTTGAAAAAAAGATTCTAGATAATTCTTTTAATGATTGGGAACTTAAGAGAGCAAAATATTGATTTGCTAAAAGCTGAATACAAAATATTGATTTACTAAAAGAGAAAAAGTTTTACATTTCGTAACTAAATTAGGAAAAGAAATTTCAAAATATTTAAAATATTTATTGAGAATAATTGTGAGTGTTAGCTCTCCACAGGGTCGCTCCATGGAAGACTCCTTCGGGACGGATCTGGCTCTCCAGATTGCAAAACAATTTAACCCTTGGTAATGTCCAGTTAAAAATAGTGTTGGTTTTGATAAAGGATTGCATTTAAAATTTTAAAAAAGAATAATGAAGTTTTTTCAAAAGCGAACACATTAGATAATATGATAAAAAAAGAATTGGGATAGAAGTTTAATTAGTTGTTGTACAACGATACAAAAACGATGCTCAGTCTTCAAGGCCAGCCAAGAATGACACTGAAGCTTTTATGGCTATTGTATAAATATAAGACCAAAACCATGATCGATTCGGACAGGCTTTTTAAAAGGGTATAAAGCGATCTGTTGGCATCTAACTCCTGACCTTGTTGTGTTTGCAACTGCAGATTATGAAGTTGAAAAAAGCGAAAAGATAAAAATAATTTAAAACCTACTTAAATTTTCCTCTTTAGATTCCTGATTAGATATTCTCAAAATATTCCAACTGTTCCAAAGCAACACTTTCTTTTTTGATTGATTCAAACTAGAGAATACTGAAAGTTTTCAAAAGTTCTGCTCATTTGTCAACCTTACTTCTACAAATAACTGTTCTGATATCAAGTTAGTGCAAGGTTAAAGCATCTGGAAATAAAGATCAGGGGGTTATAGTGCTTTTTGCAAAAGATTATAGCAAAAAAATACAAGAAAAAATGCTCGAAATTCACAAAATTTTATACTTTATAACTGTTTTCCTATACTTTATTCCTCCTCTATATTGGGACACTTTAATATTTTTTTTTGAATTTCTCTAGAACAGTTTTCAAATTTTTATGGTTCCATAAACTCTAGAAGAGGTTTATTAGCTTCAAGTAAAATTTTACACGAATGTTGCAAAATTTTTACGCCGTTTTTCTCTAAAACACGCAGTTTTTCTTTAAAACACGTAGTTTTAGGAAAAGGTCATTTAATGACTTTTTACGGCATTCTGAGAAAGTCATTGTGAAATATTTAAAGAGCAACTTTGTCTAAGAATCAGACAAAGTTTTAATAATGATACTATTTAAATTTTTTTTTTTTTATTATCTTGTTACTATTTAAAATACAAGCCTTATTCCAAAAATTTTTAAAAAAAAGGTTCATAAGTTCTCTCTCCAATATTTTAAACAAATTTTTAGAATTATTGACTAAATGTAGTCGAAAGTATTTTTAAACTTGAAAATAGATCAAACTATATACTTTTTACTGGTTATTTTACTTTCCAGCAAACATTGTTTTAGTGGATTTACAGTGGACCTTTATAGGCATTTTTTAGCGGTTCATTGGAGTTTTATTTATCGGTTTCTTAGTGGACCATTACTGGAAGCCTCCATGAATTGCAAGCCGATATTTTTCCGACATTTCAATAGTGGCTAGTCATCAGCTAGCCACTTATGACGGCAGCCACTAATGGTCCACGAAGTAACCGATGAGCAAAATTACTGCGGCCCGCTCAAAATGCTTATATAGGTCCACTGAAAACCCGCTACAGCATGTTTGCTGGGTTGATTTTTTTTTTTATAGGATTTTTTGTTCAAAGTTATTAATTAATTTGTTCAGAACTAAAAATGATTAAATAGGTAGAGTAAACATTTAGTTTTAAACATCATGCTTTAAAAGAACTGTTTGAATATTACGCTTTAAAAAAACTGTTTAAATATCATGCTTTAAAAGTACGTAAAAATTGATTTTTTGTCATTTTTGATCTACACTTTCACCAACAGCCACGAGTATTTTTCAATCCTTTTTTTACTATTATAAAGCTTTATCTTGTATAGTACCAAAAAAAAACATAATTTGGACAAATTAAAGGGTTAGTCCAAAATCTAAATCGGAGATCAAGTTAATTAGCAAAGTTTATATTTCCTTATAATGACTAAAACCTTGAGTCACACTATGGTAGATATATACGAATTTCATTTACATCACAATAGATAAACTATTGTGATGTAAATGAAATTCGTATATATCTACCATAATTATAAAAATATCTATGGGGTATTGCAATAGTAAGAAAATAATAACATATATTCAACATAGAGAATATTTTTTAAATCAATATCCGACTTGTGTAAGATGTAGGGCTCAATAGTGACCTTTTTCGAAAATGTTGTTTTTTCAATATGTTGTTGCTATTCGTACAAAATGGTTAATTCAAAAACAAATTTCAAATAAACATTGGTTTGTTCTCTAGATATTGGACTATAAATTAGACTTGAATTTTATAGAGTTATTTAAGTTCTATAGGTTGGACTAAAATTTTAACGAGTATTGCAGGATAATTGTTTAAACAGTGATAAACGCATATTCAATCTTGAAATTAAAACAAAGTCTATTAATTTCCATGGTTATTTTTACTATTATATGTTAGCTAGTTAAGACCTAAAGAAGTATGAAACATGTATTATAGACAAACGGCTTGCCCAAATATTATGCTTCAAACAATAGTTCTGTTTATAAATTATATAACAATATATTATTTATAATTAAAATACTGTTTATAAATAATATCAAAAATGTTTGAAGCTTTTTTAACACTTCTTATTCTAGTCGTAAAGTCAAAAATCCATTCACCTTCTCTCCATGTTTCTACAGCCTGACATAATTTATAAACACAACTATCGTTATAAGTTATAGTTTATAACAAGTAAACACAAACACTGTATTACTATTAATTAAAAATTTATATAAAAGCTGAAAAATAATACAAAAACTAAAAAAGAAACACTAACATTATGAGATCTTATTACAGTTCTTATAAAATATTGTAAATGCTTCTGTTTACTTATTTTATTTGTGTCCAACCTTAATTTAAAAAATAATTTAGTCATTAAGTTTCGATACTTTTCTACTGTTAGTATATTGAAACGAATTTAAGTATAAAGAAAGTTCTACACCCTGCTTTTAACTTTAATTAAATGCAGTTTTACACCAGAACTTTACAAAATTCTGTCTATAAAATCCTTTACATTTGGTCCTTTTACATCTGGTTTTTTACGTTGGTTACAATCGTTCAGAAAGCATTATATTGGAAGTATTAACAAATATGTTTGTATATTGCATGAGTATATGAAACTTTTTTTTTATTTTAAATCATTAAAAAAGAGATTTTATCATTCAACAAAAGTTATGTGCCTCTAACATTTTGTGTATATTTTATTTTTTGTTTACAAACACCGACAATACGAAAACTAGTTTTCCGGCCAATATTTATAGATGTAATGTGTGTTTATTGTAAACATATGAAACGGCAAAAACTGAAAATATTCGGTTGTGATCTCGGTTACGCCAGAGCAACTGCTTAGGACGAAAAATGATTTATAAATAATATATTTTTATAACATACTTTTTTTCTTTAGTTGAAAAACTTAAAAAAACAGAGGTACAATCAAAAATGGCCGAAGGATTTAAAATGTTTCGGTATTTAAATATTTTGTTTTAATATTTGTTTGCTTATATCTGTTATTCTTTGGTTTAATCAAATATCGTTTGTTACATTGTACGTTACAGCCATTTATTGTAGCTAGTCATCAATTGTAATACATAAATATTAAAGGCATTGCATATAATGTTAAAATTACAAACAGCTTGAATTAAGTTTGGGTTAGAAAATATAGATATGTTTATGTAATGTGTATATATATATATATATATATATATATATATATATATATATATATATATATATATATATATATATATATATATATTTATATATATATATATATATATATATATATATATATATATATATATATATATATATATATATATATATATATATATTTATATATATATATATATATATATATATATATATATATATATATATATATATATATTTATATATATATATATATATATATATATATATATATATATATATATATATATATATATATATATATATATATATATAAATTTAATAACCCAATTATCATCTCTAGTGTGACTTTTAATATCCGGTGAGATATAACCAAGCCAAATAAACGTGCTGTACAAAAACAAAAGGGTCTTACATGTGTGCGTTTGCTGACCTAGCTAACTAGCGTTCAGTTTGTGTGGTATCTTAACACCAAGCTCGTAGGTCTTTCCAAATTTGTTTTCGTTTTATAATACCACAAATGCATCCGGGTTTGGTTGCAGCGCGTAGTTAATCTTGGATCACTCTTGATTAGCTGCCTTTAGCAATTCAATTGCTGATTAAATTTAATTGCCTTTAGCAATTTAATTTTGCGAATCTACTGGTTCGCAAAATCTAGGTCAAATTGTCAAAGTTAATTTGTTACAAAAGTGTCTAAACTAACTTTTTGAAAAACAACGTTGAAACAACCTCCATTAATACATCAAAAGAGTATAAATTAACAATTACTAGAATGCAACTTATTACGAGACCTGGTTTAAATCTCAAACTCACAAAGACACGACTTATATAAAGTTAAAGAACTTCTGACACTGCATACAATGAATAACTTATGCATACAAATGCATAAGTATGCATAAGTTATGCATAAAATGCATAACTTAGAAAATGTGCATATTGCTTTTAATATTAATTAAATTTTTTTTTATGAAGAAACAATATGGTTCAACATGACCCTATCTGTATTCCTAATGCCTATGAAAACGTTGGTAGCGATGAATACCAAGCTTTAGAAAATGAATTGAATTATCGTACAGAAGAAACATTTAAAGTAGGTCTTTGATTTTTTTTTTCTTTAAATAAACAAATCTATTTTTTTAAAAAGCAAACGACGTGGAATTTCATTTTAGTTTAATGGACTAAATACGAATTTATCTGGATAGATTTATATTTTTATTAATATACCAAGATAGATTTATATTTTTATTCATTTACCAAGATAGATTTATATTTTTGAAAAACTTTACAGTCTACTTCATTGCTCATCATTCTTAAAATAATATTTTATCCTAAATACTTTTACGTATTGTTTTATAGTTTTCTAAACTTGAAGTTAATAAAAATAAATGGCCAACTTCATTTCGGACTCAAGTATTTGCATTATGGAAGAGATCTTTTCTTCAAGCAAAAGGTGATGTTTTCAATGCAGTATATTTTACAAGGGTTAGCTTTATTATTATTATTACTATTATTACTATTTAATTTAATTTTATATATAAGCTTATTCACAAACACTTAAAATAACTTAAAAAATAATCAAGTAACTCTTTAGATTTTTAATGTATATATAAACGTATGAAAATATTATTGTTAAAGTTAATCTGTAAAGTTCCGTTCAATGAAAATGCACATTTTTCATTTTTCATTTTTTTTTCATTTCACTCTCATTTAACTTTAAGTTTAAGTCTAATGCTAGTTTTAAAATTAAAAGGTAATGATTGTCCTCCTGAATAAAGGTAGGTTATAATCCTTTTCTGTTGGTGTAGATAGCGCAACAATATGAAAAGAAGTAATTGAAATCCCTTAATAATAATTTTAAAAATAAAATTGAATTCATGAATTTGAATTTGGGCCATCGAGATGAATTCATTGGATTGTAGAGTTGTAATATACGTGATTAGGAAAAATGAATTTGATTTTAAAATCCAATAAAAATAAAGCAAACAAAATTGCTTGCAATTAAGTAAAAAAAAAATATTCACAACTCAAGCAAAAGTTCAACAAAAGGTAACAAAGATGGGAGCTATTCAAGTTTTGTTCTTCTTTTGTTTTTGACTTTGATAAATATGTATTAAGTAAGAGTGCTTTCTGTATTTAAATAACCTTAGAAATTTTGTTTATGCTATCTGCGAATATTAAAAATGATTATTTGATATAATCATTGGTATGCACTCTCACTATTGGCAATGTACTTCACTACTAATTACTCTTTGAAACGATGTTCCAGAAGAACATTGTTTTATTATTCCTTATAGAACAAGCTTGTGCCAACAACGTTGTGTTCAACATTTTTCGGCAGTTATATTTACTCTATGTGTTGCAGTTTGTCGTTAACATTAACTGATTAAATAAAAAGAATGTCAAGGGTTTGTTGGTAAAACCAACACCTCATCAAACTTTAATTACTTTTTTTGACCTTATTTTTTTATTTTGTTAAATTTTCAAAACAAATTTTTAAAACGAGTTCTTAAAAAAATAATTGGAAGTTATTAAAAAAGAACATTTTAGCTGCTAATATCATTACGCAAACGTTATCATTTTATGTAAACGTTATTTTAAACTTTATTTGATGATAAATCAACAAAAATTGGTTATAAAGGTTTTATATAAATTATAGTGGATCGGTAAACGAGTATTTCACTTGTAGAATAAAATGTTATGTCTCAAATATTTCTGTTTTTTATTCTTGCTCAATATATAATCATTATTTGAGCGGAATTAATTACGTCATATTTTAGATTTCTTTATTGGATATTAGTGATTTATATTTTGCCGAATGAAAGCACTATTGTAATTTTGTATTCTGGCAATACATTTGGCAAATTGTTTTTACAATACATTTTTTTTTATTAGATATTCGTTATGTGCTAACTTTATATTTAATAAACCAAGCATTCTTAAATGACAACTTTCTATAAGAAACTCATTGAAAACTAGTTACATTAATGTAGTGAAATTAATCTTTTAAATACTTTAATGGTTAGAGCTCGCTTTATATACTTTTATAACGTTAAGTGGGGTTTTTTATTGCAATTTCTCGAACTCAACATTTCTAGCATTTTTATAATAAGGTGACCCGGGATAATCAAACAATCTTAACTACGCAGAACAGCATTTAACCAGGAGGTTTACGCCTTTTTTCTCACCCAGGATGCTTATCTAACATGGATTTTTCGATTCTGACCTAGAACTCTAACCATGCACTACGACTGCTAATGTTAAACATGTTTTATATGCACTACGACTGCTAATGTTGAACATGTTTCATATAAAACAAAATCAAATACTTTCAAAATTTATGTTGCTTTATGTTGAATTTTTAGACAATTTTAGTTTCTTTAATTGGTGGACTGATATGGTTTAACACACCTTTCGATGCAAATTCGAGGGTTGATCGCGAGGGATCGGTATGCAATTTTTATCAGTTTTAATTTTTTTTTATAGTTTTAATTAATAACACTTTTTAGTTTATTTTAATTTTGTGATTGTTTTTGCTTAAATTAAGTTTTTTCACTGGTTTTATTTTTACTTAAAAAAATGATACCAAAAAAACATGGTTGTTGTAATTCTTTTAATATTTTTTAACTTTTGTAACTTATTTTATTTTAGATATTTTTTGTTATGAGTTATTTGTTTATTGAACTGGCATTCGACACAATATTTTCTTGTAAGTTAAAAAAATTATTTTTACTAGGAAGGTTCCCATCATAAATGTCCTCAATTTAAAAAACACGTCTGTGCTTTTTTATCCCTAAAGCTTTTTCTATTCATACTTTATCAAGTAAACTAAATCTGCTTCGTGTCTCCCAAAACAAAGTATTTATGAGTTTAAAAAATATTACCAAATTTTTTTTAATAAAGGTTTTTATATGCTTTTCAATTTGTTTTTGTTTTTACGGTTAAACTGTTTCGCATAATTATAAGAAAAAAAATTCTGGTTTTCTGAACACTATATTTTTTTGTGGTAAAATAGCTAAATAAAAATATGTCCCTGACTAAATATTGAATTAATACGAGAATGACGCATATTTTTCTCGTGTTTAGTTCCTTATGAGGATAAAGTCATTGCAAAAGAGAGAGCATCTGGAATGTACCGTTTATCTGCGTTTTACACCGTAAAAAATATTGTTGATTTATCAGTTTTAATCGTACCTCAATCAATGTTATATATAATAACATATTGGATGATGGGACTGAATCGTTCTCCAATTTTTCTTCTTGGTCTATTTAATGTGTTTTTAATTACGGCCTTATCTCAGGTATTTCACTGTAAATTCAAAGCAATATTAATTTAAAGAAAAAAAATCTAATATATATATTTTCAATATTTTGTAGTCTATGGGACTTATTATTGGCGGCAGTGTTAAAAATCTCCGAAAATGCATTCTTGGAGTTGTAATAATTAGCATTGGTGGCTTAGCATTAGGAGGTTTTTACATAAAGAGGATGCCTTCGTGGCTTTCTTGGAGCAAATACATTTCGGTTTACACCTACTTTTACAATATATTTATTAGAATGGAGTTTGAATACGCACAGGAAGTTTTTAAGTATTACTTTTTTTTTAAGAAATGTTTTTTTGTTTTGTAGGTAAAACTTGATTCAGCGTAAAAATATCTTATCACATTTAAGTATACAAATATTTAATATAAATATCTCATTACATTTAGGCTATGTTCATACAATGAACTTAAAATTTGCTTTAACTTTTTTACAGGTGCACACCAAAATCTGAATACCGTGAATGCATTTACAACAACCAAAGCAGTATGACTGGGCCAGAATTGTTGTCTTACATAGATCCGATTCCTTTAAATATTTCGCAAACAATAGCTTTTTTATTGATTTTGACCTTTGTTCTTCGGGTTGTATTTTACTATGTGCTTAAACATTGTTGTAAAATAAAATAATTACCTCGATAGAAGTTTCTAAAAAAAAAAAAAAAATTAATTTTTTTTGATACTTTTTACAGTTTACAAGCTCTTTTTCTACTGATGCAGTTTCTGTAATTTCATGTGTTCCTTTGGGATTAAAAGATTTATAGGGAAGATTAAATTACATATTCATTGGTCGATGTTAATTCTTTTTTTTTTTTTTAATGACGTTATTATTTTTTACTAACCAACCTTTTTTGATATATAAGTTAAACAATAATTTTAAAAATATAAACGATGTGTAGGGGTCAGCAAACATATCAGAACATCCTAACAACAACAAACTGACAGAACTACTTTACAAACAGCAACAACTACATTAACTTTTTTAAGTTTTGAGATTCAAAAAACAAACAAAAAAAACAATTAAAAAAATAAAATTGAGACTCTGTAGATAAAGATTTGTATTACTTATGTTTCCTCTGGAATTTTTTCATATATATAAACAATTAACAAATATATATATATATATATATATATATATATATATATATATATATATATATATATATATATATATATATATATATATATATATAAATATATATATATATATATATATATATATATATATATATATATATATATATATATATATATATATATATATATATATATATATATATATATATATATATATATATATATACATTTGAAAAGGTGTTTCACCCCTATTAATTTTAAATTTTTTTTAGAAAAAATTAATTTTTCAATTATTGATATTTTTAGTTCATAGAACATATTTATGATTTTTTTTTAAAACAAAATAAATATGTATGTAAAAATGTGTGTACTTTGGCCATTATTAGGGTTTGCAATCCCGGGATCCCGAAATTCTGAGATCCCGGCCTTTTTTATAATCCCGGAATTTCCTAGACGATTGAGAAAAACAAAGGGGCGCATAAATTGTTATTAAAAATAATAACAATTTATGCGCATCAATAAAATAATTTTTGTTTAGTTTAATTTCGCAGAAGGTAATTCTATTTTCAGTATTCTATTCTGTAAACGAATTCGGGGTAGGAGAGAAATTTTATTTGTCTTTTGACGAATGGACGTCACTTCGAAATCATCGCTATATAAATGTTAACGTTCATGGAAAAAATGTTCAGTTTTAAAGTTTGGATTTAATGCGAATAACAGGGTCGATGCTAGCAAAAAAGTGCATTAAACTACTAGAAAAAAAAAAAACTTAAAGACCATTGTCTTGATCTACACGGCGACATTGTGGCTATAATAACCAACGGAGCTAGTGTTATGAAAAAAGTTGGAACATTGTTGGCTACAAATCAACAATTATGTTTTGCCCATGGCATACAACTTGCTGTAATTGATGTTATTTATAAAAAAAAGAATTCAATGCAAATCAGCCAAAATTTGAAAATAAATTTTTTGACTGTGACTCATCAGAGAAGAAAGGTTATTGAGGAAGATTTACTGGGCTACAATCATGAAACTTTAAGATCTAAAAGTGAACTAAATGAAGTTCATTATGGATTAGCCATTAAAAAAGTACGTAAGTTGACATTAATATTAGACGATCACCTACCAAGAACAACATCTTACAATAATATGCTAAGGCTGAATTTGGAAAACAACTGTCTTTAATGATGGATTGCGAAACAAGGTGGAGTAGCCTTCTGTTAATGCTTAAACCCTTTTATAAAGTAAAAAATTGTATACAATAATCTTTAATTGATATTTACTCAGAGCAAGATAATTCTATAGCTCTGTCGCATGATGATTTGACAATATTATCAGACATTATTACAACTTAAGTTCCTGTTAAAACAACGGTTAAAACACTTTCTTGCCGAGAATCTAACCTATTTACAGCTGACATTGCTACTAACTTTTAACCTTTTTACAGCTGACATTAACCTATTTACAGCGGACATACAGCTGACATACACACCTTATTTATTTACAGCTGACATTGCTACTAATTTTATGCTAACAAAATTAAAAGATGCTGACAATAACGCAAGCAAGGAAATGCGTACAACTTTAATGACTCTTATACATGAACGCCGAACTGATATGAATATACTTCTGCAATATCTACATAACAGTCGAAGCTAAATTGAAGTCGATGAAGAAATAATTACAGTGCCTTCTTTATTTAAATGTCAAAAACTGTTGGTAAAATGGCTGGAAAGATTAAACGCTTCCAATCCTGCTTTAGTAAGAGCATCAGTTGAGTCTGAATGCTGGATTTTATTGAAGAATCTGAAACTGAAAATAACACAAGTATTGAAGAGGAGCTTGGTAGTGTAGTTAAAGAAGCGCAATCATCAATGCAAACAGTTAGACATGAAACATTGTTATGAAAAATTCAAAAAGAAATAACATTATTTGAAAATGGTGGTACACGTGGTGATTATTTAGAAAGAGTTAATTTATTTCTAATGACAGTGAAACCGAAAAGTGTCGAGGCTTAGTGGCCATTTTCTTCCGCAGGACTGCTTAATAATAATATTTGTAACAGGTTAGGCGATGAATCATTGGACACGTTGTGGTTCATGAAGTTACATTTCAAAGTGCATGAAACATGATATATTTCCTTATTTCTAATGAAAATCCTTAACATTAATTAACATGTTTTTCTTCTATGCATGTAACGATGTAATGCAAACAGCATCATTTATAAAGCATATTTTTGTTTAAGAGTCTACTCTTTTTATTCTACGAGAACGAAACTTTGAAATCTACCCCACAGTTTAAGGGTTATTACTATATAGATGCTATACCTGTTTTTCAATCCCGGGATTAATCCCGGGATTAATCCCGGGATCCCGGGATTGAGAAAGACCTCCGGGATTGCAAACCCTAGCCATTATAGGATTTTGAGATCCATAGCAACGCCATAACAACGCATTTTTAAACAAAAAAATTAAGTATGAATAAGATATTGTTCTAAACAACAATATCTTATTCATACTTCAGTTAATAAATATGGTGTCAAAGTATATTAATACTTTTTTTTTCTTGCCTTTTTTGTTAAAAATTTTTATTAATCTATTAAAAATTACTTTTAAAATGTTCTACACATCTTCAAGGCATCATTCTGGTTTATAACCTCTTCGCATCTTTGAGGAACATAATGTGAAAATTTTAGAAATAAATGATTTATAGAAATGGAGACATCTTGTTTTATTTATACCTACTTATGCGTAATTTTTTATAGAATAAGCGAGGCAAAAGTTGAGAAATTAAGATTTTATATTTAGAAAAATATTACCATACTTGTTTTAACTTATGTAATGGTACTTTTAATTTTGTTTTGATTATTTTAAAGAAAATTTTTTGAATGGGGGTGTACACCTAAAGTGTCCATACAGTTATAAAGCATTATAATGACATAACACTACCAATACCTCGGTTTTTTCAAAAAGTAGAGATAAAACCAATTTTTTTAATTTCAACCTCTCAAAGCAACAACTCTCTTACAAACAACAAAACTACCTTAAAAACAGCAACAACAGCCTTTCAACTCCCAGCTTCCAGGAGATGGATTTTTAGGTGGTGGTACCCATTAAGAGATAAAAAATGAAATCTTGATGTTATAAGAGAGCATTATTCTAAACTCTTGAATAAAATCATTTCAAAAAGCAACAAAATTTATTTTTCTGAACCACTTGCTCAATAATTATGTGCATAAATTAGCATTATTTGGGCATACAAATTGACTTTTTTTTTTAATCAAGAATATCTCCAAAAACACACGTTTTATAAATTAAACTTTACAAGCAGTTTTATATACGTTCAAAAAGTATGCTAAACCAAAAGTTACACATTCAACTCTAAAATCATTAAATGTTTTAATAAATAGAAAAAGTAAATTTTAATACTTAAACATTAAAAAACTTCTTTTTGCTAAACATATCACAAGTATATGTAAATGTATTAAGTATTTTATACTATTTTATAAATAAATACTGAAATATATCAAGTATTTAATACAGTTTTTTTTTTTTTTTTAAGTTGATTAAAGTGCCCCAAGAAGTCTTTACGGCTTTATCACAGAGCACCGCGGAAGAGCATTTAATAGGAAGTTCACGCCTCCTTCTCAACCGATGTCGCAAAACTTGCCCACAGGTGTAGTTTGAACTAGGGATCTTACGTATCTGAGGCATGTGCGCTACCACTGCGCCACGACTGCTTAAATCTAGTTAAACCTATTTTTAAAAAAAATACTGAAATCTATTAAGTATTTTATACAGATAAACATATTTTAAAAATGAATACTGAAATATATTAAGTATTTTAAACAGTTTAACCTATTTTTAAAATAAATACTGAAATATATTCAATATTTTATACAGTTAAACCTATTTTAAAAATAAATACTGAAATATGTTAAGTATTTTATACAGCTAAACCTATTAATAGCAACACGATAAAGTTTTTTGTTGATTGATGCAGTTTTTAGTGAGCTTATTTTTGCCAGAAAATGTTTTTTTGGGTTTTTAGACTTTTATAAGATTTCGAAAACATGTTCTTTGCCGTTTTTGGATAAACCTCTTATTTTTTTATTATAATAACTTGTAATTATACTAGTAAATGAAAAATGTAAATCTAAAATTGTGTAAGTGAATGTAAAAAACATATCAATTTCTGTTTGTTCTGTACTGTTTTTTGTTTTTATTTTGTTTTCTTCCATTGATCAAGGTGTTTACTTGAAACTTCTACTATAAGTAATTACTCGATGAAATGTAAAAACTCAGAATACATTAAATATGATAAACTAAATTTTTTCAACTAAACTTTTACTATACGCTCATTTTTATGCATTAAATTGATTTTTGAAAAATGACACTTCTAATACTTGCGTTTTTAACAAAATAAATCATGTTTACTTTAAAGAGTAACTACGATAGATCGTAGTGAAATATTGGCACCTTAACAGTAATTTCAAACCTTATTTCCTTACAAAAATTGTTTTAGTAAATTAAAACATTTAAAACTTGAAAGAGTATTAGTAAAATAATTCTGAAAACATTTAAAACAATTAATTGCCTATTACCGTAAAAATTTGTTAAAGTATTAATTTAATTGTTGTATTATATATAATTGTGTATTATGCTGTATTATATATAATAATAATTATTAACAACAACTTCAATTCAGATCT